GCCTACTGGTTAGGCCATTGCACTTGGAATCCAGAGGTTCTGACTTCAAGCCCCACTCCCACAGACTGCCACTCTAGGTCCCGGAGCAAGACCATTAACCCCACACTGCTCCCCAGGCGCCACCGATGGCAGCCCACGGCTCCCCAAGGGGATGGGTTAATTGCAGAGGATGAATTTTGTTCAAAATGCTACAATCCAACAAAGTCGGGCCCAGAGTTGTTCTCCATAAACAACTCTGACCCAGCCAGCACAGCATTGTCAGGTCCAGTAAGTGACACAGCATATAGCGGGTACTAACATATTTGCAGATGGATTTATAACCATGTAGACTACTCCTCTTTTTATCGGTGCACACAAAGGAATATGCTAAGCTTATTTTTACATAATTAAAATAATTAAATTAACATGTTTGAAATTGAATTCGTACCTTTAATGCTTATTAGATTGCTGGGACATTGAACATCTGAACACTGAACTTTTACTCTGGTGAACTATAATACAATCAACTGTGATTTTTGATCAGTAAATGGTTGAATGAAATCTCCCCAATATCTGTCGGGGAGGGCGGAATGTTGCTGATGTCCATCCTGTCCGTGTTAAAGTCAATTTATTCTTATGACACATAGCCTCTGCAACCGTCAAATCTTTCTCTGTGCACGACCACGCCCCCCGTGCAGAGGCTCTGCAACCGTCGACGCGCACCTAAAAAAAAATTCTGACTACATGTCGGACGGTTGCAAACCCGCGCAGACCTCAAGCGGAAGTGCACAGTCAAAAAGCAGCTGTGATTGGTCCTTGGCATGTCTTTCCGGCTGTCTGTGTGGTCGTCCTTTTCGATTCGGTGCCAGAGCACGCCATTTTTAAAATCGGAGGAATAATAACAACAATGGAAAACCACGACGAAAGGTTTAACGAGGAGGTTCGGAAGTAAAAACACTTGTACTATGCCTCAGACATGTTTTGGAAAATAAACACTCCCACCGGCACCGCCGAAGAAGTTCTCGTGACCATCCGCCAAAGTTCTGGCGAGTTCTTGAATAGGCTCGCTCTTGCGCTTTTGCAGGAAACTGCTGTGTGTCCCTAGAAATTCCAGGTGCAGAAGCATACCAGCAAAACTGGTTCGCGACCAGACGCAAGCAACATTTGATGTGTGCGATTGCAGAAGTATAATCCGCTTTTTGGTCCAGTTTGCACATCCATCAAAGTTGACAGGAGCGGCAGGCCCATGCAATTTCTGGAGTCTCCTTTAAGCAGAGCACTTGTGAAAAAGCTCCTTCAACTGGTGCACTTGATAGAGGGAGAGTGAGGAGTTTAATTTCACCAAGCGCTACATCCTGAAAGCAGTGGTTTCCTCCAACACCTTTAAAAGATTACTTTTCCAAACAGACCGCATTAATCATCAGCACAAGGTTTATCACACCAGATCCACCTGCTGCAAAAACTAGCATCATTTGTGCCGCCACTACACTAGTTCTCTGTTGTAAACACCCTGGCAGATGACAGTAGCTAATCAGTGATGGGGAAAGGTCAGGGAGTAATGATAAATGATTGGTGGACATGTGTTTTAATAA